AGCTCAGGAGCCTGAGGTAAAGAACACCCAGAAATGTTTAGCCAAACATGTAATCCCAAAGTTTGTCACAGTGATAGTGCTTCAGTTTATTGAAAGCTTGTTTAGTTAAGGACTGTTTTTTCCTGTAGGAACATGATCCTAATGTTAACAACTAAAGTCAACATGAAAAACCATTAGCCTTTTATTGCTCTGTGATGCCCAGCATGAGGGAAATCCTCTGTCACAAGGGTGATTTTTCTATCATAAGGGTATGTTAATTCTAATGAAACTTGGATCAGGGAAGTGTTGAGATTTCCCTTGTGAAATTGTGATCAGCAAAAGAGAAATCCACCCCAATATTACGGTTTTGATGAAAGTCTGAGTCCTTACCTTGGGATGGACTAGGCCCAAGTCCTTGGAAAGGGTTATGTAGTTAGTCACTCAATGGAGCAGTCATAATTCAACTAACACATTGTCCCTCCTACATCCTATGCAAAGATGCTTATTGCTAGTGTGTCCATATGCTGGAGTTGGTATCACATTTTGATTTGTTCTTCATTCTGCAAAATTCCCTTATGCTGGAAAGCAAGTAACCCAGAGTTTAAGGATAGCCTTGTCCTTTTAAGTAAGTGTTAGACCTCACCTTTTTCCTCTTCTACCCTTCATGTTTTTTTTTTTTCTGGAATCTGGTGTCTAGAAATAGTCTTCCAGTTTCTAACCTAGATTTATTTGTTGCCAGTTTGTCCATCTCAGACAGTGCTGGTATTTTAGTCCCTTTACCTGCCATATGAAATCTTTCTTTCTGACTTTCCTCAGAAAACAAATTATCCTCTTTATCGAATATTATCCATAGAGTGATTGATGAGGAAATGTTCTAATGTGCCAGTAGCTAGGAAATACCTGTTCTTTCTGTTCAAGATGTGACCTTAGCCTATATCATTTCTGCAGGTTGAATATTGAAGATGCTGGTTCAGCTGTCAATTTGAATTATTTTCCAATTGCAAAATTACTATTTTGATTAGTATTCCAGGAGAGCAAAAAGGGTATGTAAGAAACTGGTGACCAGTTGTCCCTATTTTGTTACAACAGCAGTCTTCTCTCGTTATTCAGCAGTACATAATACCACATGAAGAAAGCCCAGGAACAATTGGAGTGGTTCATTAAAGTCATAGAGGTTTTATTCAAATCCTGCAAAATCCACTGGAAGAACTCCAGTCAGTTTTGAATCAGAGTTACGGCTGAGGATTGTCTTCTATGTAATCTGTTTTTATCCTCATCCCTTAGCAACTATGTTGTTGCTCCAGTTTTCTCGTAAGGGGAAAGGTTCTGATTGTTTCTTAAAATGCTGTAATGTGGTGTCACCTGTTTGTCCAATATCTTGCTCCAACAAGAACTACTTCTGAAACTCTACCTTTCTTGCAAAAATTTGGGGTGATTGGACTCTTATTGAGGCAGACATTGAACACATGCCTTCATTTAATTTACAGATTCAAAAAGCTCCTCTTGTAAGAATAACTCTTGGAAAGATTTCATTGCTTATTAGAGGAATCATTAATCAGTCTGGAGACATTCGACTCAGTGGAATTCTCAAATGCCACATGATAGCAGGAGTTTTGAGCAGCTGAATATAGCTGATCGTCTCTGCTTTTCTCCAGAGATTAGACTCTTCTTACCCTATTTCCTAGCCAATGAACATTTACTTTTCAGTTAAACTGGGTTCAATTATAAAATCAAGTGTCTGCCAGAAGTCTGTATGTACCCTGGAGAGTTTCAGAACTACTGCCAATTAAAACAAAATGCTCCTGATCAGATGCAGGTTTACAGGGAACTGTTTACTTTTCTGACTAGACCTGCTAGAATTATTTGTTGAGAATAACATTCAGGGCAAATCTAACAGTTTCTGCAGGAACCTCTCCCACTTCAGTGAATGAAAATTTTTCAAGGTAATCTTTTACTGTGTGTTTCTTTTTAACATTTTTGTTCCTGTCTCTAGGCAGGTAGGCAGCATTGTTCAGTGCAAGGACACTACAGCCATTGTGGGTGTGTATTAGCTGCATCATCAGATTTTGCTTTGGAAAGATGCTTTAAAAAGGTGTTTCCCTTCTAAATGAGTCATTTGAAATGACTGGAGGTCCAGTGGTATCAATTTATTTATATAGTGTTTTCCCCAATTGACTTGGCCAGGTTTTAGCTCTGACTAAAATTACTTGTTGTCCCCTATATAATGGAAGTTTCAGCTCCTGAAGAGGAATACAAATGTCATGCTAAAAATAATCCTCAAACCAAACAAACCTGTTTCCCATTCCCCAATGAACCTCCAACACAGAATACTGCAGCACAGCCCTTGGTGGCATGTGGCTTCATACCTGTTCTGCCCCTGTTGTGCTGATGCTGATTACATCCCTTACGTGTCCCTTGGCTAAGCGTGGGAGGAGAAATGTATGTCCTCCCCACACATCCCTGGCTGTGAGTTTAGTGGCTACTCTTCCTTTTAGCTGCTGCCCCCCCCAAAAGCCTTCCATGCCTGATAGCACAAATCACCAGCTAATGTAAATGAAACTGAGGCTTTTCAGGGGTCAGAGCAATCCATGAATTTAGGACAAGTTGCCAGTGTTCAGAATTTTTATATGAAAAAAAAAAAAAAGAAAAAAATGTGGCCTTCTATTTAGTCCATGCTTGTGCATTGGGGATATTTGCTTTAAAACCAGTGGTGCTGCTGCTAATAGCTGAATTATTTGGCAGGCTGCATCTTGACTGGATTATTTTTAAGGTCAGCTGACAGGTGGTTGTGCATTGCAAGTGGGTTACTTTTCACCTTACATTGATTTCACCTTGTTCAGGCAGTTTAGGCATAGGTGGTTCTACTTGAATTTGACATCTGCAGAAAGCTTTGAGACAAAAATTTGGTCTGAATTCTGCAAATTTCCCCCTCTACAGCTTTGCATTTTATTCTACTCTCTTGCTGCTGGTGAAGCAAAAACCTGAATGCAGAACTTTACTTCAAGCTTCAGTGTTAGGTGTTTGTAAGATAGGCAATTCTCTAATGACTTTGTGTGAAGTACCTTAAAACATTGTTAATATCTAAAATTCCAAAGGAAAATTGTTGTTGTCATTTTGATTTTATAAACATTTAGAAAAGTTTGACTTGACCGTTTTGTGCAGATTGTGTCTTTTGTGGAAAAAATGGAGGTGGAAATATTAGCGTCTTGCCACTATCTCCATAGAAAAGGCCTCTGATATCTCCTATGCAGAAAAAGCATAGCATGTAATATAAATTTTTAAAAGGTTGAGAGCGAATTTCCATTCCTGTTCCCACCTGACCAATTGTTGGATAAGTTTCAAGTTTGGATAAGCTTCAGTTTACGTCTCAAAACTTATTCCAATACGATATACCCACTGATACCTTTTGTCAGTGCTGTATCTGATATGTATATATCTAGCATTCTGCACCTAACAGGATGGGGAATACTTGAATAGATAGCTATATATCTATGTATCTATTAAGGAGTCGTTTCATCCAGTGATAAACTCGCTCTCTTTCTGACACTCTATTTATTTTCCATTTTAAAATAAAAGGTAGAAAGACATTTGAAAACAACAGGGAACAGTTTTTTCAGCTGCCTTAACTTTCAGTAAGGATTCCCCAAGCTCTGTGCATCTTCCTACACATCCATCAAGTGTTGTTCATTATAATTATCCTGTTAGAGAGAGACTTCAGCTCTGATGAGAGGCTGCATCATGGAGAATGCTATTTACTTCCATGTTTTTATCAGATCTCAGTCAGTATTTCACAAAACAGCCATGCTCAAAGCTGCTGCAACACCTTCCTGAAGTGCCTTTGGAAGGTGCGTGGCTATATAAACATGTTGGCTTGCACGGAGTCTGCTGGCTGTTTTGAATCAGTGTGCTGCTTGTCTTGGCAAATAATACCATTTCTGAAGGGGGTGGATAAGGGAGATAGCATTAACTATGTATAACAATGAAACGATACCTGGTTTCACCGTAGTTGCTCTTTATGCAATGTTTTAGTCATTCCTCAAATTTCTGTACGAAATCATGAAACCTAGCGTTAAGCAGGAAATCTCACAGCTTTTGATTCATCTAAATATAAGTACTGAGTCCAAATGACTTTTTGTTTGAGTTTTCTTGTGAATTCACAAAGCTTTTACAAAGTTATCATTTCTAACTGTTTAACTTTTATTATTTAGTGAAATCTCTTCTATAGAGTATCATGAACCATGTCATGATGGATAACAGAAAACATGGCCAATGCTGCTGTTAAATATCTTAAATATCTAAATACCAGGAAACTTGCCTCAACTTTGGGCTCAGCTAGTAGATTCAAGCAGATGAGGGATACTTTACTTGTAAGCCTATGTAGGTAAAATCCTATGGTCGTTGATGGTTGCATATGTTTAAGGTAAAGCTAGTTTGTGCATTTGAGGATATTTTCTTTTTTCACCTGCAGCTTGCCTTGTTCTCCTCTATAATGAATCAGTGTAGAACCAGTGCACGACCTCTGTAACATGTCCTGCAGCACCTGGAGATTCAGAAGGTCTTGGTGATGCTTCAGCAGCAGTTATTGAAGTTAGCGTAGATCTAAATGAGTTTGATTTTCTTAATATAAGGCTACACTTGAACTCAAGACTAGAGGTGCTTGGAAACACAGAGCTGAGGCAGCCATGTAGAGCTGTTTGGGCTAGCACTGACCTGCAATGCAAATATGCACTTCTGGACCACAGCCTGGCCTTGATATGGAACATTTGGAGTGTGTTTAGGTTCTTCCAGGAATTGAAATTTTGATAATGTTTTATCAGTTTGGGATGGAATAACAAACTTGAAATCATGTATGTTTTTTACAGAGAGGACATATATGCTTCCTAATGAATTCCGAAGATCTGTATCTGGATTATAATGCCTATTTCAGCTTTAGGGCCATTAGAAATCCAATGAGCTAACTTAAGGATGGATTTTTGTGATGACAGAGGAAGTAAATTATCATGTTTGTTGTTTTTTTGCAGGGGAATGTGACCTTTTCCTGCTCAGAACCACAAATTGTTCCTATCACCTTTGTCAGTGCCAGTAGAAGCTACTTGCTGCTACCTGGCACTCCTCAAATTGATGGACTGTCAGTTAGTTTCCAGTTTCGAACGTGGAATAAAGACGGTTTGCTCCTGTCTACAGAACTGTCTGAAAATTCGGGACATCTCCTCATTTACCTCCATGGCGGGAGGCTGACACTGCTTATTCAAAAAGTGGCCGAGAATCCAGTGGACATCAGTGCAGGTGATTTTTGCTTGTTTTCTCTCACCTGTGCCTTGGGTATAGGAAGAAAAGATAACGAGGGAAGGAAGCATCCTGTCTTCTTTTGTCTTCTCAAGTTGTCTCCACCTTTCCAATGGTGGAAGCACGCTTTGCATTTTGAGGGAGACCTGAACTCAGAAAATTGCCATCCTGAGATCTCTGGACTAACTCTACTTTGCAATTATCTCTGATACTGGTTTTAAACAGTCATGCTAAGTTTTCTTCAGTTAGGTCACATGAAGACCTTCATGCTTCTCGCCCAGCATTGTGCTGAAGTCAGCTGGGAGGAGGCAGCTAAGCTGTAGCTCCTTCACCAGCACAAGTTGAAGCAGCCTCAGAGCTGATTTTCTGCATCAGGATGTGATGACTCCTGGAGCATTGCACTAGAGAGAGCGAGCGCGGCCGAGCCTGCTCCCCTCGTGCTACCTCTCTGGTGTAGCTCATTGCAGATTGCCTCGTAAGGCAGCATGCAGGCTGCTTTGCACAGCTGGAGGGATGTGAAATGTGTGAAGCAGAGCAAACTCTTGGCCCTGAAATTCAGGGAAAATTACTTGTAAAGGGTGACTGTGTGTAACAGCTATGTTTTAGCGGACAATAGCAGACTCCATGACAAAACCAGGAGCAATGTGGCCTCTAAGTGACGTGATAGTGTCCTGACCAGGAATGTTGTAGTCCAGAACCTCCTTAGCAGAGTGCATCTCCTCTTGCCATGCAGGCATGCGGGATGGGGAACCAGCCAGTTCATTTCCACTTAGAGTGATTGCCTGATATCCAGAGGCAAAAGGATAGTACACTAATAAATCTCAGAGTCTAAATAATGATATTATTATTTCTAAAATACTGTTATTTCTAAAATACTATTATTAGGGGCAGTTTAAACTAATGTGATACTAAAATTTTCCCATACAGACTAAAAGGCAGATGTGTCTATTAAAAGTAGAGAGGAAATTTGACAGAATTGTCAAAGCAGAGCTGTTCCATACGTGTGTTTCATTCCTCTTTATGATATAAAATGAGGCAGCCCTACATCTAGCCTTATTCATGTAGATTGCTATAACCTCAGCTTGTTGCAACTGAATGTTGAAAACTGAGTTTCCTGCCTTTACTGCAGTCCTAATTAAATTGTTGACAAACCTGAGATTTTCAATATTTGTTTGGGTGTATTTGCATTTATGTAGTTCTGAAACCATGAACCTGAGCCCAGTTTTTGGTGCTATCCAAAACATTGCTAAACTGCCTACTAACACATGGAAAAATATGCAAAAATTTCAAGCAAGTATCATGTTCTGCAGCAGGTACTCTCAATGAAGTCATGCTAGCTCAAGAATATAACTATTTTTTGCCCCAAATGGGACCTATTTTATCTTGATTTTTTTTCCTGAACTTTAACAACATATTTCATTTCAAAATGGGCATGTTCTGGTTGAAAACTTGTCCATTTTTGCTGGGAAATGGGCTCTTATTCTATGAAAACTGGGCACGCTTTAGGAGCCATTACTACAGAAATAGTCTCATTTTCAAATCGTCATGCAACGATTTCTCACACACATAACACCCACAGTTTTTGTATTTTGTTTTGAACTGTTCTTACACCTCTTTGTGGCACTAAGTGTTCATTTGTTTCTTCTGAAAGCTACATTAAGAGGGAGTAAGTAGTTGTGAGCCTGGTTTCACTTATGCCAGCCTGATGGAAACATATTTCTACCTGCAATTAGGTTGCTCTTGATCTGCAGTGCTGGATGCAAAGTGAGAATCGTGCGCACTGATTTTTGTGACTGTCAGGAGGGAGGAAAGGGAGTTTTTTCCTAGCTACATGCTGCCATTTCAAGAGCAGTGATCTGCAACACAGATTTCCAGAGTAAGGAAACAGAATTAGGTTATTTCCAAGTGTGTGGAAGAGGAAAAAGTGCTCAGGAGCCTAATTTCCCACTTCTCTGCATAGGTTTCTAGACAGAGTGACTATCCCAGCTCTCACCAGACCCTTTTGACTTCAGCACATCCATCACTAAAACCATGTGCTGACTTAGTGCCGAAGGGCTTTCTGGAACACAGATTGTACTGAAACCTATCGGCAGTTGTCAGCTTTCATGAGGAGACTGAGACATGATATGACCATCTCACTGAATCTCATCCTCTACAATCTCTGGCATGTGTTTAGTCCCAAAAGCTCAACAGAGATCTTCTCTGCATGCTTCTGTGAGCCATAAGCATTTCCCAACAGATAGAATAAAACCTCACAAAATGATAATGTGCTGCCATAAAGGTGAAGGGCACTGCCAGCCCACTGAGTGTCTACAGTATCAGGCACAGGGTAAATTAAAGCGTGCAGACGATCTCCTTAAATACTCCCAAAACCCCTTTGCCTTTCACATGTCTTTTTTTCTAAGTCATTTTGCTTCCAAAGGTAATGGAGTTGTTTTCAGCCACCAGTTCTGTCCATTTCGAGGCGAACTGCACATTTGTGGTCAGAAGTCAAGTGCAAAGGGGGTCTGTAGAACACAGTTGTCTCCTGCACCTCTTTTTTTCACCTTTTGTACTTGTTTTTCCTAGGCACAAATCTCCATGATGGCTTATGGCATTCAGTTTACATCAGTGCCAGAAGACACCGCATTACTCTGACCTTGGATAACAACTCTGCCACAGCTGCCCATGCAACTATTGTCTCAAGGATCTATTCTGGGAACAGCTACTATTTTGGAGGTAAGCTAGTTCAGACACAGGACAGATTTTCACAATATAAATCCCCAGGGGCTGACTGCTGAGGTCTCCCAGGTGCTCTGTGTTTGTGATTAAGAGCAAATGCTGCAATAACTGATTTTTGATCACCTATTGAGTGGTACTGCATACAGCACTGTGGGAAGATCCAAGGCTCATGAGTAGGCCCAAGAGCAACAGCAAATCCACTAACACAGCTGTAATGGTGAACTACTAGTGGCCAGGATGTAGCTAATCGTGCCTGTCAAAACACCCAGTGCCACACAGCCATATTAGCTGTAAATGTTTGTTTCTAGAGAAAACACTAGAGGAGCTTTATTATTATTAATCTTGTGGGCATCATTGTCCTGATCAGGCCCAGTGACTTCAGAGCTTAATTGACGTACAGCTCAACTTACAAAGGTATGTAGGTGCTTTGTTGTCACTGAAAAGAATGTGGATTTAGCTCAATTTTGAAAATAGGAAGAATAATCTTGAAAAATACCACTTCATGCTTTTTTGAATGTAAACATTAATTTAGGTGAAGGGATTATCATTATCTGTATAACTAATATATTTCTCTGTAGTGCTTAACACAGAGGGGTTCTGATCTTTGTGAATCTTCTGCAAACAGTGTTAATACTAAGGATACAGTGAAGTCTTTGGATCTAGGAGCTAGCTGTCCAATCATCAAGGAAGGTCAGGCAAAAACATTATCCTTCCTGCAGTCTGTGGGAGTTTGTCCTTATAGTCTGTGCATTGCCTCAATAGCAGAATCTGATCCATAACAATTTTAGAGTTGCACAGCTTTAATTATGGGAGTTAATTGCTATTGACTGTAGAGTTTAGAGATGATGAAAAAAGAAAACATTTTGATTTTGCTTAGCACATGTGAAAAACTTATACTCTGATATCTCTACTGGCTGCTCTTTTTCTTTTATTTTTTTAATCACCAAAGGATTTTTAACACAGAAGACTGTGTAGCACAAAGTTTGAAAACACTTGGAATAATTAGACTTCAAGGTCTTGCATTAGGAAGTCCCAGCAGAAATACATGAACGTTCCAAAGCTCTTCTCTGCCTCTTCTCTTTCTCTCCCACAGGCTGCCCTGACAACTTCACTGATTCCCAATGTTTAAATCCTGTTACCGCTTTTCAAGGCTGTATGAGGCTCATCTTTATTGATAACCAGCCCAAGGACCTCATTTTAGTTCAGCAAGGTTCCCTGGGGAATTTTAGTGATTTACGCATCGATCTCTGTGGCATCAAAGACAGGTAATTATTGTCTACTCTTTCATTTGTGTTTTTTGTTGTTGTTTTTGTTTTCATCCTAATGTTTTATAAATACAGGTCGAATTAAGTGAAAATTCTAATCTACCACATTACAGATATTAGGCATAATAGAGCTACTAATAGAAAATATAACAGCAAAAATAAAAAGACTGGAGGGGAAATGGTTTCAATTACATGGGGCTGTCTTCATGTTGACTTGTAGGAAATAGAGTATGCAAATTCAATCAAACTATACGTTGGTGAAAGGACTAAATTTTGTGCATAAACAACATTTGATTGCTTTGAAGTTTTAGAGGGAAATGAAAGAGAAGGAAAATTATTTGATTCATCAAAACATGACATCCCCTTAATATACTAGCTACTTTTATTTAAGTAGATCAGTTAGAAATTTTCTTGTTAGCCTGTACAGCACAGCACATTTATAATGAAGATATGGTACACCTCATGCAACATACTGCCCATTCAGTAGGACAAAATAATGATAAAATGTCTGTATTAACTAAAGACAGATTTCAATTTAAATACTGATCTGAATCCATCTCAGACTGAAACCTGAGAGGGAACTCACTGTTCTCATAAAGAATAGAGGGCAAATGAGCAACTTTTTTTTAATTTCATAATTTCATAATTTATCCTTTGCTTATGGATGATATAAATATTTCTGAACTATTTTTGTAAACACATGTACTTTGAAGTTAGTACTTAGAATATTAGGCTCTCTTGTTTTGTTTGTTGTGTTTTTTTTGTAAATAAAAGCTAAGTTTTGAAAAGTAAAAAAGAAATGCTGATTTCGTGTCCTTCAGACGGCTAAATGACGATAAGTTAACAGGAGGCTTTGGAAATGCTATAGGAGCCCAAGAAGTTACAATTTCCAAACTTATTGCTCAGAGACATGGGACTAAAGGCTGAGTTTATTACTCTAGAGGGGGTTCAGGCTGTTGGAGCTTACAGTCTATTCAAAAATTGGACAAAACATGTGATAACGTGAGAGGTGGTGCTCATCTCAGGCTGTTCACGTTTGTTAATTTGTGTGGATAAAATACTGACTCTCGATCAAGTGTGTTACTGTGTTTGAAGATGATCAAGTCTGTGGGGACATGAATTTTGCTTAGGTACTTGGTGTGCCTAAAATGGGCGATGGAATTGATAAGATATATTCAATTTAATAAAATGGGAGGGAAAAAAACACAAGACTTTTTTCTCTTTTCAAGAGTTAATGGAATCTGCAGGAATCATCATAAGAAATCTCTAGTATCCTAAAGATGGCAAGGATTAGTCTGTGATCATGCCATAAATCTATTTAAGGCCAAGACCTAGACATAAGAAAGTTATCACTTTGTTTTACTACCTTCATGTATTAAAAAAGTAAACAAAATTTATACATGATAAAGTGAAGATTAAAGTACTGTCTTCCTGTGCAATTCTCTGGATAGCATTAAATTTGTGTGTCTCTTACTATATGATGTAGGTGAAGAAGGATAAGAAAATAAATGGGAAAAAAGATCTGATTCAGAATGGTCAGTGATTCTCTGTGGCTGGGTTTGGTGCGGCAGTGGGGCTTGCACTAGATGAAGAGGAAGGCAGAAGCCTGAAGTGTGTGGAAGTAACGTGCTGAAACTCAGAAATACCTTCAGCACCAAAGGGCGGGTGCCTTGCTTGACTTAAGGAATTTCAGTGTTCTCATTTTGCAGTGCACCATGAGTGCTCTCCCTACCTGGTGCAAACTCCAGTAAGAGTGGCAAAATTTTTTGCAAGGAAGGAGGAGAGGTTTTTTCTTTCTTTATTTGTATAAACAGCATTAAACAACTGCGGCATAAAAATTCCTGAGAGAGCTTAGATCTACAAAATTAATTTCAGGACGTTAAAAAAGTTGTTCAAAGATTCACAGTGCGAGTACTGCTTTGTAATATTGAAATCAAGACTGCGAATATGAACAACAGAATTGGGAGAAGAAAAGAGTGAAATTCACATAAAATAAATGATTCAGAGAAGAGGCTGTTATTTTGCCAGTTCAATTTATCCTAAGCTAGCAGTTGAGCTGAGGAAAGGCTGAAGAAAGTAGTTACAGTTTGCATTCTTCTGAACTAGTTTTGAAGATTTAAGCTTGAATTCAGAATTTTGGCAGATCTGCAGTCTGTATTGCTTCCCAGGGAGCATGGTATAGGCTTGAATATATGTGCTGTTCTGAGATTGTGTAAGTCGGTTTGTTGCATAAATATGTGAAGTATATCCTCGTTTTCAGTCACTGCAATAAGTTTAAGCAGGGCTCTGTTCCCCTGCAGCTCTGGGCTGTGCAGAAGTTGGGGCCTGGCTCCAGCTTGCTACACAGCTCCTCAGCCTGTATTTGATTATAAGAGGAGTGTTAAAATTCTGTAGGAGTATCTTCCCTGAGAAATACGCTCTCCCCTTAATCATAAGATTTATTGCTATATGCACTGTAAGGCACGTGGTTTTGTAATTTTAATGCATGTGGGAATTGTGTATCTTAATTAACATGTAAATGGAGCATTTGTCTTAGTTATTTAGGCAAAAACCTCTTTTGAGGAATGTGCCTCTATTTAGAAGGCAATTCATTTGTTACAGGCTTGTAGGCTGAGCTCGTTCAGATAGGGGCTCTGAAAACAGTAATGGGGCATCTCTTAAACTTGAGTCAGCTCTTAAAAACTATTAACAGGATCATTCTGAAGGAGGCCAAACTGGGAGTACTACTGATGCCGGCAGTACTATTTCAGGAGAAATTGTTTAAGCATGTTATATGCACATGCCACTGTGAAATTTAAATGTGTTGTGTGAGGGTTTGGCCCTTAATATCTCATGGATTCATCCCATGTGGATCTAGTACTTGAACATATGTGTACTCAAGTGAACCTTGTGTGAATTTTCTCTGTCTCCCTCTCTTTGTTACTTCAGTCCTTCGTTATCTATTTCTTAGAGTTAAATGCTTTACCACTGGCTGAGTTACCAGACAGTGCATACAGGAAAATAGAGATGTCCATGGAAAAACACAGGGTCCCGTTTGGTTTATATCTGTCTGGGCAGCCCGTGGCAAATGAAGATGCCTTTGCAGACACAAGTAAGCCTGAGGTAGCTGATGCTGCTTTGAGCATGAGGTATTCACCAGAAACCTAAAGAGGTGCCCTCCAGCCTCAGCGAGTCTGTGAATGGTACTGGAGACCTCTACTCCTCTGAGTAGGCACTTCTGGATGAAGTTGGAGTTCTGGAAGAGTTGGTGTTAACCTAACAAGCAGAGACATTAGGGCCTTCTGTGTTTTTGGTGGGATGTGGAGATGCTATCTGTACACTCTGGAATTTCACAGCAGGCAATATGGCCAGTCCTGTTGGTTGAAAAAAGTTGGTTAATGCTGTCTGCTATTAAGAGACTACTTGTTTCAAGCCCTCAGCTTCAGTGCTAGCATCACTTATTCTTCTGAACATCACTCAAATCTTCTGACTTGCAATCCCCTTAAATCTGGGGAGCCATAGCACTGCAGTATTGTCAGTGGTGTGTCTGTGTCACATGGAGGCAAGAAAAGGTGACTGCATTCATATCAGAGTTGTTAATGTTCTATAAGCCTTGGAAATTAGTCCCATACCTACTTTTCATCTCCTTCAAGATAAAGTTAATCCCTCAAAGGATTGTGGTACAGTAAAGTGCAATCTGTAGATGGAATTTTTCTTCTAGCAACATGTATATAGGACTCTCTGCATTCCCTACCCCGCCTGCATGCTGTTAATCCAGCTAACTCTTTTTTTCTTTTATTTGTAGAATGTAAATTTTCTGTAGTTGTCCAAAAGCATAGATTGCTCAGTCTTTTCTGAGAGTGATCCAAAGTATGGTGCTTATATTGCTCCCCTTGAGAAGCAATAGGTGTCATAGTAGCCTCTAATGCATTTGTCCCCACCTTATTGAGAGGGAAGGAAGCAGTGGGAATATTTCCTGCTATGCCATAGATGTCTGCTCTAGATTTAAAAGGGAGTGGGTTTATTTAATTTTATCCCTCTTTGTTATTGTCTCTTCAGGGTTTCTGCAGGTGCACAGTAGGGTGTATTTGCTTTACACTGGATTAATGAGTCAGAAATTGTACTTTCTTACAACACACTAACATTTCCCTCCTATTGTACAGTATAGAGCAGAAAGAAATAAAGCAGAGTGGGAACATGGAAGCGAAGGTGCCATGAAGTCCTTGACAGCAGAGAACATGCTGTTGGAGGGGGTGGGAAGGAGGTGTCTTTGGGTATGCAATGCAGTGTTTTGCACCGAGAAGTGTCCTGTGCTCTGGTAGCTCTACCAAAAGCTGTGTCGAATGGGCAGATTCCATCTCTAGATGAGAGCCTGTTGGGAATTAGAAACAGGCATAGCTAATCCTGCCTTAGGTTGTGCACATGGACTCGGTGATCTTCTCAGGCTCCTTCCAGCCCTGTGGGACTTGGATGCATTTTCCTAGGATCCTGCTGCAGCTAGAACAGCCCTATGTTGTTCTTGCTTCGGAGGCAAGAAACATATATCAAACTCAGTAATGTTACTTTAAAAAAAAAAAAAAAGTGCTAAATGATTTCCAGGAATTCAGTTCAAAATTTTATCTGTTATGCACCTATAAGAAAGTTTGTTTGGAAGATATGCCTTAGATAGCCTAAAAGGTGCTGAGGCAGTGTGGTAAGGACTGTTAGCTCACAGGTATGTGTCTTTAACCCGAAGTGTATTGTTTTGGGTGTAATGTGGAGGAGGAACAATGTTTTCTCCTTGTTTTTCACTTTATTAATTTGCTTCTAATTATTCATTATTGCACTATTCATTTTTACAATTTCAGAATGATTTGCTGTGAGTGGCAGAATTGATTGCCCTGATTTGAATTTGGTTCTCCTCTTTGTGGATTCCATGATGCCTAAAATGCTCAGAGTGCATCTTTATCTTTGGGAACTAACTTGATTCTCCTTTACCTGGGCAGCTATTTTTGTGAGATATATAACTTGAAATTGAGGCA